TCTGTGTATGAGGGGACACAACGCGGCCCGGCCAGGCGAGGAAAGGAATTGTCAGATTAGTCCACATAAAGGCCCATTAACACTTTGAAAGCCTCGCTGGCGGCACGGGCCGACTTCAAGGGTGTTCAGTCCTGTCACAACTCCACCCCTCCCTTAGACCAAACCTTGCCCACCGCTTTAGAGCACTACAATGCTCTGTGCACAAAATAAGCGATCTCGCATCGCCTTCAGAACGCTTTATTCARGGGCAAAACAGTGTGGCGAGCTTAGACTGAATTAAAGAAAAAACAAAACCTAAAAAAAACACCAACCAAATTAAAAAAAAAAACCCTCTGTTCTAGATGGGGATTGATGTTCATTCTCCTCATGGAACCAGCGTCCAGCAAGCATAGAAATGTCCAATGTCCACAGCACATTGCTGTCTGTCCTGCTACAAAACACATCCCAGGTTCTTGCAGTTTCCACGGTTCTTCAGTGAAAAAATAATCTAAAATAAAACTACTGTATAGATGGAGAAAACGGTGCTGTCATCTGAAAGAGACAAATAACTCCYGTGAATATTTCAGCTCCTCACCAGAGGACACAATAAGGCACATATTTAGGTCTAAACACTAAAATTCATTACCGTCATATTGATTCTTATTACGCATTTGGAATSAAAAGCTGATTTTGCAGGAGGAAAAGCCACTAAAATTGACTTTGGATTATGTAATTTTTTAATGACCATTTTTGCTAGGCACATTTGGTTATTTTTTACTTAATCTAATATATCTTCTATTCATTAAATACCCTGATTTCCAGAAACACACTGGGGGCTGGTGGAGAGGCCTGGCCTCTACACATCTATTAGCCTTTTTCTGGATCTGCTCCACAGAATTATCCAACACAATCCAAATGTCATCTGCTGCTGGCAGCAGTCCCGGATACCAGGAAGCAAATCTTTAAGCTATCCCATGGAAGGAATGCAGTCCAGAGGGATGGCTCAGGCTGAGTCAGCTCTGCCCAGAGCCTACACAGATGCCCCACACACGCTGCTCTGAAACGCCACCTCAAACATCAAGGGCAAAAAAAAAAATCCAACTAGTTTTTACGTTAAAACGAAAGAAAAACTGGAGTGTGACAGTTTATTCCTTAAATTTCACTTGAGCAGAATAAATTCAAGTAAATACTTTTGGGTTTTTGTAAGGGAATGACCTCTGGGAGTTAGTATATGATTTAGTTAAATGTGAGTTTAATGTTCTTTACTAAAAGTAAACCTCAAAGAAAAGAAAGATAATGTCTTTGTTCCTCAGAGTCTTTTCAGTTTTTACATCTGTACTTAAAACTTACAACTGAAATTAAAGTAAATAAATGGTGTTTCTATAGAGAACCCATTTGGCAAAATTAGTCTGTTAAACCSTTTTCCATTCAACCATAGTGATAGGGAAAAGTTTCAAGATGTCTTTGATGACTGCAGAAACCTTTATAATTAGGTTCTTACCTTATTTAGTGACTCTTTGTTATTACTGTTGTTCCATTGTGAGCAGGGATAATAGGTGCAGGAAAATCCAGTTCAGGGGCATCAAAAAAGTATGCCTACGTTTATCAGGAAAAAAAAGACTATTTAGAGAGAAACATACCTCATCCCAGCTTTTTCYTCCCACACCCACCAAACACAGGTACAAACACAGCACTTAAATGGCAAATCTGGATCTTCTTCTGTTTTTATCAGATTAGAAATGGTCAATTCAAAGTGCTCTGAACTGTACTTTTACATTTAACTGTTAGCAGCCAAGGCCTATGAAAAGAAACTGTACTAGAAACCCAGAAAGAGTTGTGTTTTGCTGTCCCCTCCCTGCACACTGAGCTGTGGGGAACCAAATCTATCTGCTCTGGAAGCTGTGGGAAACAACTGGAGCCTGGCTGATACCCTTTAACCCACTGCAATAAGGAAACAAATAATTAAAGCGTTCATTGTTTATTTCAGGGCAATCAGGGTCTTCTGTTCTGTAACTGTGTCTGAAAACATAAATCTGCTAAAACTCAAAAGCACACACTTTATATTGGACATTTAATCCTTTTAAAAGGCTAACCACAGATATTATAAAGATTAATGCTTTGCTGATACTATGATGAATTCCAGGTAAATTCAAGAGTGTTCWGTGGGAGTTGGACTCAGTGATCACAATGMGTCCCTTCCAACCTGGRACATGTTCTGTGATTCCATAATTRATTACTGAACTTACTACCRGCAYTGTCAGGGYCACAYTGGCATCAGTTTTTGCTACGTTTAAAATAATTAGAATTTTTACATCTGAGGTTTCCCAGTGACCAGCCAATTCCTCCTTCCCTATACCGTAACACACCACCTGCCCCAAGAAATAAGAGATTAGGAAAAAGGAATGTCTGTGTCCTACCAAGCAGCCAACAGCCAGCAGGGCGTGAAGCAGCAGGATGGTGGCCACRGTGGCCACTGCGATCCTGCGGTTGTCATCTCGAACCGCGGGCCAGAAGGTCATCACCAACACAGACCCCGAGAGGCACAGGGAGAACACCATCAGCACCCAGCGCACCACCTTCTGGGGAATGATCCACAAAATCTGGARAAGGCAGGAAAAAGGCTGTCAAAGAGGCTTGTGTGAAATGGGAATTCATTGATTTAACACATKGTTCTGTGGTATTTCATTGCTTCCAGCTGATTTGTGCACAAATTAACTCATGCCTTTATCTGACAYATCTGTCACTGGGAAAGAGCAAGAGTTTTACTCCCAGACATGACAAGAGTGAATCCCAAGTTATGCCACTCCCTCCAAGGCSTGTCCCCAGCCAGAGGAGAGCCCCTGCCAAGGAAACCTGTCCTTGGAGCCATCAGCATTGCTTTCCTGCACAGATATCTGTTCCCTGAGGACACAAACATCCTGATTCTTGAGGAGCAACTTGCTTTGGTTTGCTGCCTCTGGGGAAATGACCTGTCCCGAGCCTTTCCAGCACCCACAAGAAACCTTTACACTAGACAAGCTTCAACAAAAAGAGCAAAAGATTCTCCCAGTCTCCAAAATTTCRACAAATATCAACAATATTATAAGAAACAGCAAATCTGCAAATCTGCTCAACCAGAACAGCCATACTTACAGCTGTGGGAATGTAAAYGAAGAGGGAGTAGCCATATACACACACTATCTCCAGGAATGAGTAGGAAACAATGTTCATGACTTTACTGTTCCTCCACATTAGGAATCCCCAGAGAGCAAGGGGAACAAGCCAAGCGTACGCATAAATYGTTGTAGCTGCTATGGACACTGGAAACACAACAAAAGGTTTAATGTTCTACTTTAAATCCTGCCAGAATCAAAGGTGTAGAAGCATTCAGCATAAAAGCTAGAAAATTATCTGTGAAGATACTTTCAAAAGATGAAGTTTGAATTATTAATAAACTGAGGACTTGGCATTGATATCTAGTTTACACCCACTACTCTGCCAGCACTTTGACTTAGTTTCAAAGTAAAGACTTTAGAAAAAWGTCTCTTGGTATTTTCAATTCCTTTATTACACCTGTGTACAAAATGCTGCTGGTTTCGGTCAGAAATGAAAAGCCAGAGAGGCAGGAAAAACTTAGTTAAAAGTAGAAATAAAAAATTAAACTCTGCTAAATCAAAGCCATGACCTGGTTTTACATTACTTCATTAGCACATTAAAAAAAATAAAATAAAACCAAACCAAAACAGCAACCAAAAAACCCCTACAAACAACTGCTTACAAACCTTTTCTGAACTCGGGCACATAGTGGTATGTTGGTTTGCCCAGATGGATGAAGAAATTTGAGAGATTGCCACTAACAGCAATGGTGAACACGAGTGTGGCACATATCCAAAAGGGACCTTAAAAGAAAAAAAATTCAGTAACACCTCCTCTGCCCTCTTGCTTTTTAAAGCTAGAAAGTAAAAAGAAATACAAATTCAAAATATTTAGCACAGAAAATAACTTCTCACACCTACCATACCTACCTCATACCTACCATAATACCATAACACCTCATACCTACCATAAAGGTCAGGATTGCTGCGGATATACAGCCTTACAAAGTTCTTCCCTGGTACTGGGAACACTGAACCTTTGATTCTGTCCAGGACCTGTGAAACACAGGGATTTGTCTGACTGACAATGCAAGAAGGAAAGAAACCTCAGTGGATAAGTTATACTCAGACAACAGTTCTCTGGAGCAGAGTATTAACCTGGTATGTGTCCACATCGAAGAAGGTCTGGTAATAATCAAAAGTCCAGAAAGGGGCACTTTTCTTCTGTCCTGCAAGCAGCTGGATGGTGGGAAAGGCAACATGGAAAGTGTTACAATCACACTATTCTATGCATTTCTAGCTCATTTACACAATAATTACATTATTTCTGTACCCAAATTTAACAGGGGAGTGCTTCCTGTAAATTATTTAATGGTTTTCCTTTCCCCTTTCTACATCTGTTGGCAGACAGTTGCTTATCTCCCTGTAAGCAGAATTGTGCCCTGGGGTTGTAAAGTCCTACCTGCTGCCACATCATCTTTAGCACAYGCCCTCATCACCATGACAAGCTCCTTTTGCTGTCAGAATCACAGAATGGCCTGTGTTGGAAGAGACCTTAAAGATCACCACATTCCAACTCCCTGCTATGTGCAGGGACACCTTCCACTATCCCAGATTGCTCCAAGCCCCGTCCAACCTGGCTTTGAACAATTCCAGGGATGTCGCAGCCACAGCTTCTCTGTGCAACCTGCGCCAGGGCCTCACCACCCTCACAAGGAAGAATTTCTTCCTAATATCTAATCTAAACATCTTCCCTTTTAGCTTGAATCCATTCCTCCTTGTTCTGTTCTTTACATACTCTTGGGAAAAGTCCCACTCCATCTTTCTCACAGGCCTMCCCCAGCAGGTGTGAGAGCATTACCTCTGTTTTATCGGAGTCATCGGTGCCCAGTAACTCATCATCCTCTTCTCTCCCTGGCTCCTGCAGGCGAGTGTGCTGATTCTTGGGGATTTCGACTGGCTCCTCGATGCTTATGGTGGTGGCATCAGGATTTGCTGCAAGCAAATTAGCTGCATCRTCAAATTCTGCAAGAAAGTATGTTACATGACAGGTTGTAAGCAGCCAGTAAAGTTTTGATTTGTCTCCCCACTGATAACAGCCATGTGGGGGAAAAGGTGAACACGTGAAGGCTTGCAGGAGGCAGCCAGGAGATGGGCAAGCCTTGTCTCTGGGGATATTTCACCAGGCAACATCTCCTATGGCACGGGCACTCAGCTGGAGACACTGCACCCCCAGARATGCTTCTCTAATGGGATGGTGGAAGGTCTCCAATAATGGACTGCACAGGAAGGTTTGACTGGACCAATTTGTCTCCTGTCAGGAGGCGGACTTCGGGAGGCAGAGGCCATAAAAGTAACTGCACCACAAGTTTCTGGGTCTGGACTTTGGGGGGTTTTTTACTCTGCTTTTTACCACTGGCTTTTGAGGAGCTGGGGCTTCCTAGAGACTCGCTTTTTAACTTAGGTTCTGGGAGCTTTTACCGTGCTTTTGGCTTTTGAGCTCACTCACAGGGCTTGCTTGTCCTGGCCCTAGCCTGATTTTTTGTCTTTTTGCCCTGGTTTCTACCCTCGCTAGCTCTCCCTCGMCCCCTCTGCTGGGTGCTAGGCAGGATGCACAGCCTGTCCTGCCTCCGTTTGTCCTGCCTCCGTGTCCAAGCCTTTCTCGCCCGCCTCCACAATCCCTGCCGCGACTATATCCAGCCTCCCTGCCCGAGTTCCCTCCCCGTGTGTCCGGCAGCCCCTCGCTGCAGGAGCCGCGCTTTTCCCGGAGCTGCTCTCCCTCKCCAGCCGGCAGCAARARYRTGTTCATCCTGTCCCCGGTCCTGCTGGAGGTAACGCCCGCTTTCTCCCTCTGTCTCTCTGTCCCCGTCCCTTTCCCATTTTCCTTTCTCCTTTGCTGTTTTTTTCCAACCCCTTTTAATGGGCTTATTCTGGTTTCCATTACCAATAAACGGTTCTCAGATACAAAGTTTATCTATGTTGACTTAATTTCGTTCTTGACCATAAAATAACTCCTCGCAGTTCCGGGTCTACTCGACTTTTACTCGAGTTGAGAGTGGTCTACTATATTTTTACCCGAGTCGGGTCTACTCGTCTTTTACCCGAATTGAGAGTGGTCTACTATATCTTTACCCGAGCCGAGTCTACTCTGTTTTTACCCGAGTTGAGAGTGGTCTACTATATTTTTACGCGAGTCAGATCTATTCGGTTTTTACTCGAGTTGAGAGTGGTCTACTATATTTTTACCCGAGTCGGGTCTACTTTATTTTCAACCGAGTTAGGTGTGCATTGTGGGGGAAGGGGTGCACACCTGAGGCTGGGCCCCAACCCCGCGTCCGCACCTGCGACATCGCCTTTACCTTGAAATTTGAGGTCGTCCGCCGCCGCCATTCATCCGCCTGGATGAGGATCAGCTCCCCGGCGCTCGACCCTCCTGCAAGAGGACAGGGGCAGCGGTAGGACGGGGCTTGCTCCCCACCTTGTGCCGGCGCTGCTGTGCCCCGCGGCCGCGCCTCTGGAGCTGCCACAGACCCGCCCGTGCTCCCCGGCAGCGCCGCGCCCCGGGCCGGGGTAGCCCCGCACCTCGCCAGGGCCCCGCACCCGCCGCTCCGCCCCTTTAAAGGCGCCGCGTCCTCCGCGCAGCTGCAGCCAATCAGCGGCGCCGCCCAGCCCCTCTGCGCCCCGCCCCTCCGGGCGCAACAGCCCCGCCCCGCCGGTCACGCTCGTAGCGCCGGCCAATCAGAGCCCGCGCCGCGCTTCCGCGTGTGCGCGAGCGCGCCCCCTCACGGCCTGAGGCGCCCGGCCTGAGCCGGCTGTGGGTAGATCTGTGTACAATCGTACCCTTATACAGCTATTGTAACGTACACTGCGCGTTTTGATAATGGACATTTTTATTAGAAAATCACAGAATGGCTTGGGTTGGAAGGGACATTAAAGATGATCGTGTTCCACCCCCTGCCATGGGACACCTTCCGCTATCCCAGGGTGCTCCAAGCCCTGTCCAGCCTGGCCTTGGACACTTCCAAGGATGGGCAGCTTCTCCGGGCAGCCTGTGCCAGGGCCTCACCACTCCCACAGAACAGAATTTATTCTTCGTATCCAACCTAAATCTGCTCTGTGTTATTTTGCAGCCACTCCCCCTTTTCCTGTCACTCCAGGTCCTTGTCTATAGTCTCTCCATCTCTCTTGTAGTCTGCCTTCAGGTGCTGGAAGGCCACAATTAGGTCTCTTTTCCAGGCTGAACAATCCCAATTATTTCAGCCTTTCCTCATAGCAGAGCTGCTCCGTCCCTCTGATCATCTTGGTGGGTGGCTTCCTCTGGAATCACTCCAACATGATCATGTCCTTTCTGTGCTGGGTGTGCTGGGGACCCCAGAACTGCATATTATATATATATATATATATATACACACATATATATAGAAATCCCTGCAGCCCCAAAGTGCAGCAGACCCCAGAGCAGGAGGAACAAGGCACTATTTGCACAGCATCTGCATGCGTCACCCTAAGGCCTTGAGCATCAGCACCTTAGTCTTTAGTCCAGGATTCAGGGAGAACATCTCTCATTAGTAAAACACAGACCACATTTTTGGATCAGCCTCAGAGCTCTGCAGTGAGCACCACACACACACCCACCCTTTGGTGCAATTGCAGGGAGCACGGTGTCGGGCTCCTCACTTTTACAGGGGCTGAAGTGCAGACAGGGGACAGCGTGCRAGGCAAGGCAGAAACTCAACCACACACGTGAACATTTTCCCTCCCCCTCACCTTCCACCTTTGCCCCTGCCCTGCATTGTGCTCCCATCRGGAGCAGCCAGACTTCCTCCACCACGATGTCTGGCATCAGGGTATTCCTACAGAAAATCCTGATTCTTCTGCAGGTTTCTCTGTCTGTTGTAGTTGGCAAAACACTGATGATACTGTTCCCCAATGCCATGAAAAGATACATCCTGAAGATGGGTGAAAAGAGCAGGATGAACCAGAATCCAAAGTTCAGCTATGAAAACTGGGGGCCGACTTTTTTCAGCTTCAAGTACTTGCTGTTTGTGCTGAAGGTGAAGTGGAAGAGGCTGGAGGATGAAGCCTACGAGGGACACCCTGCTCCCAACACACCAGTGGTGACCCTCAGTGGGGAAGTTYGTCAGCTCCTGGATTTCATGAAAGGTCAGTAACTGTGCATTAGGTGGGTTTTGGTTTGCTGAGAGGATAAACGAGAAGATGCTGCTGAGGGAACGAGGACAGGCAGCTGAGTGCACCACATGCAGACCACCAGCACCGACTCGGTGGAAAAGATGCAGCACATTTACTCCAGCTGCCTCTTGATTTTCAAAAATAACCTGCATTTATCACCCTATCTATGCTATCCCTTCACACCACTGAGCTTATGAACCTTTTGCAAGAGCTGACTGCCTGGAAATACTTTTTGCTGAAAGCCAAGGTCATGAATTGTTTTTGGGACAGAAGGCCCAGAATTGAACTGTGTGCAGTGATTCACGACTGTTGGCTGTCGTTCACAGTCGACACAGAAAATTCCACACCAGYTCCCTTAGCCAGCCTAAAGCCTAGAAAGAACAGGGTGGGTTTTTCCAGATCCAAAGTGGCTGGGAATAAAGCAGAAGTAGCTGCTTTGTACTTTGTCCACTGCCTCCCACTGAGATTCTCGATAGAACGTGGAATTAATCATTAAGCTGCAGCCTCCATCCCCACGGGAGGGATTACATCCTTCTCTCACTCTGCTCTCCTCATTATATATAGATATTTATGCAGAAAATGGGATGCAAATTTGGAGGAGAGATACACAGTATCTGCAGGAAAGTACCACTGTTATTTAATTCTTTAGGATGTGGATCTGTGTTAGCAGCAGCTTTTAAATTCAGCCCAGCCAGAAAGATCTTGAACAAATTTCATGTAATTTAGCATAACCAGACTAAAAGAGGTGCTTAAAAATCCTGCAAGCTCTCTTAAATCAAGGCCTTGCAAACAGATGCCAACACCTGTGGGCACAAACTGTGTTAATTTGTAAGGAACTGCAGACACTTTTGCCAGTGTAAGGTTAGCTTAATAATAATATATAACAGAGTTCTGTTTAGACAGGAAATTGCAGAAATACATTGAAAGCATGAAAGCCTGTGATGCATGACTGAAGAGTCTGCAGCTTTTCCTCAGCTCAGCTTGAACAGACACATCTGAAAGAATCAGGACATGAAAYGGCACTGGGACTCTGTCCTTAACAACCGTCCCTGAACCACTGTCCCTGGATAACCTTGCAGCAGGCCATGTKTAGTATTTTTGAAGTYGCTCCAYACTAAGAATCTCAGGGAGGCTGGGRTGCCCATTTTGGATCAKTTCCTTACCCCAGAAACGTTGATAACTTGAGAATTGGCTCTTGTGATGAGGAAAACAGAAGCTGTCTGACTGCATGGTACCTGCTGCCTGTACTGGGCAGGGTCCTCTCAGTTAAACTCCTTTCTGGATGCAGCAGTACAGGTAAAAGCCAGGCTGGGAAAAACATCTTTATGCTTGCTTTGCACAGATGCAGAGGTTCTGCTGCTGATTTTAATGCCCTAGGAGAAGGTTATGGAATGACTTAGTGCTGTCCAGGAATCTGCACCAGAAGCTCAGTTCAATGTCTTTAATTCTGTCCTTCCTCCCTTCGTTTAACCACAAAATTCCTCTTTTTTCCCCCCAGACAACCGACCTTTAATCCTGAATTTTGGAAGCTGCACCTGACCTTCATTTATGTTAAAATTTGATGAGTTCAACAAGCTCATCAAAGATTTCAGCTCAATAGCAGATTTCCTTATCATCTACATTGAGGAAGCTCAYGCAGTAGGTACAGTACAAACACCACAGTGGTGCCAACCAGCTTCAGATGTGTCATTTCCTTTAGGAAAGAAAAGTGTGTTAGCAGAGGGGGCTGCAAACAGGAGAGAAACCTTCAAATCAAGTGGCAACACCACATCTGGCACCAGTCTGTGTCCCTAATTCTAAGATTTTAGTCACACTTCTGGTTTACACACTGAATTACTCCTGCTGAAGACACTCAGGTGTCTCCACCACACTCAGGTGAAGGACACAGTTATATGTTTAAAAAGCTCCCTTTAAGTGTCAGTACAGCTCCTTTTGGAAAGAGGAAGAAAAGACATTTCATAGAACAAAAATTAAGTATGCAATKCCAGCATGTTATGTGTTTAGAGGAAAAAAAATCGGTTTCAACATTTTCCAAGAACATGATGCAGACTCCAATTCGAAAACTTCAACAAGCAAACAATAACACACTTGTTTATCTGCACTGGATTCTAAGTAACACATTGGCACTCGTTTTATCCCAGGATTAAGATGGTTTTCTAAAACCTAACATTTATTTTCTAGCAGTATGTCAAACTCTTTTACTAGTTTCTGCTTTACTGGGAGGAGTTGTGTGCAAATGTTTGTTTGCATAGYTCTGAAAAACAAAGGTGTGTCCTGGCTCATGTTTCACTTCTCACAGACCTGTAATTTTAGTTTATAAGCTTAATGAGTAGAAGCAGAATCAACAGCACTGGCAAACCTTACCCAGAATATGTTCCCCACCTGGTGTCTTTCTAGGATTGACTGAAGGGGGAAAATTTCAGCTAGAATCCAACAAATGTTCCTGAATCCAGGGCAAGAGGGAAATAGAGTTTGCTGAAATTAAAGAAAAAAAAGTRGGTCTTGGGATYAYTTAYTTGAAAAGCTYTCKTGCTCCCATACTCTGAGGGGGSCTTYCATTTCATKRCAAGTTTTGGTGTTAGGAATAAACTGCAAKATTMTTYTAACCTAGTTTTGGGATATGACACAMAGCACATCCYCACCCTTGCACCTATTCAAAACGTTCCTTGCTAAATCCCTTCCTCATTTGTTTTAGATGGATGGGCTTTTAAAAACAACGTTGTTATTAAAAACCACAGAAGCCTTGAAGATCGAAAAAATGCAGCACAATTTCTTCAGAAAAATCATCCTCTATGTCCAGTGGTTTTAGACACCATGGAAAACCTGAGCAGTTCAAAATATGCTGCACTGCCAGAACGACTCTACATGCTTCAAGGAGGGAAGGTCATCTATAAGGTAAAAAATAGTGTAGCAATGAGCACAATATACAGAGTTTTTAAATTTCAAGGTAACTTGAGACTGCTTGACATTTTACRGTCAGTGTTTCATTCTGTTTGAGAGCTAAATATTTCACAATGCACCATAACTGTGGAGAGAMATGAACATACAGCAAAACCAGTCTGGGCTTTTATAATGTACATATTTGATGTACATCTCAGTCTTGCTCAAATATTTATCTTTTGGCTTACTAGTAACCCTAGGTACATCTAAGCTGTGAGATCCAGGAACACTTCCCAGCTCCAGGATCCAGATATTGGCCCTGTCCCAGCGTCACAGCAGGGTGTAATCAGTGCACAACCATCTCCCAGGGATGGCTGCARTGGAAAGGGACTCCTGCCCACAGTTCTGGTGCAGCTGCTGTGCTCTCAAGGACTTCTGCTCTGTCTGCTTGAGGATCACTGTGTCATTTTATTGCCTTTGCAGGGAGGAGTGGGGCCCTGGAATTACCACCCCCAGGAAATACGTGCCATCCTGGAAAAACTGAAATAGAAAAAGAAGATGACTTTGGAGTAAAGACTATTTGGATATAGCAGCTCAAGAATAATTTGTCGTGCACCTAAGTGTAAGAAATGAAAAAAAAAAAAGGAATTAAAAATAGCCATAGAGACAAAAAAAGAACCTTTCATATGCATATAAGGAGCATCTGTAATGAGGTTCATGATGTTTGTCTAAAGGCTTTCAGGTGTCATCTTTGCAACGCCAACTTCTGCTCTGTAGTAACTTCCTACACTTACACCACATGCAGTAATGTGGGAGCTGGGTCCATTGAGCTCTGGATTTACACTTTTAAGAAACATCCTGCAGCATAAACTTCAGGAGTGATGACATTTGCAAGAGTCCACTGGCATGCAAAGCAATTGATTTCACATTACTGTACACATTGCACTTGTATAYATAAAATGTTCCCTTTCACTGACTTCAGGAGGCTTCTGAGCAAGACAATCTCTACCAACATCTGTTTCCATGAGTATTTGTTATGATGGTCCCAGCATAAAGCACTGGCGGCTGTGACCTGATTCCAGAAAATATTTATAGAAACAAGGGATTGATCTGCAATTATTAAAAGTCTGTCAAAGCACTTTATGTGGCTTCAGATTATTTCCCTCCCTGCCCTGCCTCCTTACCCCAGGTTATTTCTACACGCTGGCAGATATTTATATTCACCCTTTATAATCTGAGTTTGAGCTGATGAGAACCTTACCAATTTAAGGACTTTTGAAGGACTTGTTTGACAGTAGGAAGTAMTACATCCCACTTGTGTAGTTCACAYRTTTTTCCTATTTAACTCAGAGCACAAGGGAAAAATTTTACAGGAAATTGAGTTTTAGTCTGAGTATTATGAATGCCTGATATAAACATATTAACTTAAATGGACTCATTTATGTTCAGGCGTTCTAGGCTGACAGTTTAGGTTACAAAATGAGAAAGCTGTTAYTACAATTAACAACTGCACTGTGTTGTGGTTGGACTTGATCTTGAAAGTCTTTTCCAAACTAATTGATTCTCTTGTATTCCACAGATTAAACCAGCAGGGAATACATACCACATCCACACCTTCAAAACACATTTTAATACAAGGTCCTAATAACAAACATTCTCTGCAATGCAGCTATCAAAATGTAACTTCTTTAYAAAAATAAACAAAAAGGGATGTCCAAATTTAAGCTCCACTCAAGTGTTCTCTGCTGTGCCCTCTGCTATCACCCGGTGCACTGACACAAAATGATCRAAGGCAGATTTGATGATGAAACGCAAGTAAGTGGCTTGGAACTCAGGAAGCTGCAGAAGGAATAAAAAAACCTGTTATTGCATTCTCTGTAGCAACAAAACCACCAAACCACATTTGCAGAAGTTTGTTAACACACAAGGATCTGGATGTTTTGGTGTCTGTTTTTGAATTGCACATMAATGTTCTTTGACCTGCAACTCAAAAAAGTCCCATCACCTGAATTCTGCAGCCTTAAAGGCAGCAATTGAAGGAGGGAAGATTGGCACACTTCTGGAAAGGGCCCTTGCACATCGTTAGGAGCACTAGGCAGGTGCAATTTCATAGCATAATCTACAGAGGAGCAGCTGGGAAGTGCAATTTCACACCACAATCTATTAATTCCTCTCTTTGACACCGACTGAGCAATAATTGTAAATAAAAACATGTTTGGTTTTTTTTTTATAGTTTCTCCCCACTTAATCTGGACTAAGTAAGTCCCATTTCATGAACAGCTATTGATGTACACTGTAAATACTCACTGGAAATTCTTCCATTTGAAGCTGTCCTTCTGTGTGTGACAAATCTAGAAAACATATTTTAAAGTAAGTAATGAAGAATAATGTGCAACGCTGTCAAGTTTTCACTGGACCCAGAGTTCAAGAACTACGAATTTATACTGCATATAGATTTTGTTTTCTATTCTTACAAGGTGATTTAAGAGAATACTTTTTTGCAATATCCCAGAGTGTGTGTATATATATATATATATATATATATCCTACTAATTACAGTGTTACAAGAGGTCATCCAAGAGACATTAAAAAAAGCCAAACCCAAAACCAAACAATGCAGGAAATGGCACTCTATTATACTACATAAGCCGGTTTTTAATTTTTGGAACATAAAGTGCACAAGTAGGGCTTTATAAGTAGGGCTTATACAGCATTTTACTCTCCAAACTGCTGCAGAGACCAGCAGTGTTCACAAAACTCACTTAAACACGACTGTTACATTAATGTCTAATAAAATAATCATCAAGCCACCATTTACTCAACAGATGAGGGTTTACAGGGATTCACTGAAGCAGACCAACACTGTTCCCACAAAACCCCACAAACTCAAGTGYCTTACCTTTTTCAACACACTGTTCAAAACCCACAGGGTCTTTAGATATGCTTCTTTCAATCCTTAAGGTCCGCACTAAAATATATGTAAATTTGAAATATCACCACAAGTTCTGATTCTTTATTGATATTTATATTTATTCCATCACTTCACATCCACAAAGCTCTTTCAAAGCATTAACTAATCTATTTTTCTCTAAGCTATGGAGATTGTGGATATGAAGAATGATTGCTCTGTGAAAATAAATCTTTATGTGGAATTAATTCTTTATGTGTAGTTAAATCTTTATTCATCTGCTAAAAGTGGCTACTTACAGACTATAACATTATTGTGGGAGCTTTCATTAAGGCACAGACACGTATTTTAATATAGCATATATTACCTACTTCAAGACACAAAGCCTTACCCAARTAACACTGGATGGCGACTTTGCTGATTTTTACACATTTGGGAAAACCAATAATCAGTTCCTGTGGGAACATGCCTGTCGTCACCCAAAATGTTTTGGAACTTCTGTGGAGAGAACAGGACAAAACCCTCAACTGCAGAGTTCCACCTATAACCATCCTAAATGAAATTTATCACAGAAAAATGGAGGAGAAAAAAGGGAGAAAGGAGAAAGCAGAGGGGAGAGGAAAAGGAAGGGGTGGAAAAAGACGGGGACGGTGGGGAAGGAGAGGGAGGAAAAGGAAGAGGGGAAGTGGGATAAAAGAAGGGGGAGGCATTTTTATTTGGGGTATTTTCAGCAATGCCCTATCTGACGATGAGGCAGCTTTCTAGAGGTGTTTGCACCTCGCCGTGCGGGCTCTGTAGGCGGGCGGTGCCACCCAGGAACCCCGCAATGGCGCTGGGCCCCGAGCGGCTCCACCCTGCGGCCACCGGAGCGGGAGGGACAAGGAACGAGCCCCGGCGGGCTCCGTGCGGGACGAGCCGCTCCCGCCGCCCCCTCACCCGTCCGCCACGCTCTCGGCGGGGTGCTCGGCATCGCTGGACGTGGCCAGGACGAGGGCGGCCCCCGCCGAGCTCCGGCACCAGTCGGCGGCTCCCATGGCGCACGGCGGGGCGGCCGCTCCCGGGCAACGGCGGCGACTCCCCCGCACGGCCGCTCTCGGTGCGGGAACTGCGGGAACGCGGGGCTCGCTCCCGGCAGGGCGGGGGAGGCCGGGCAGCAC